AAAAAAAAAAAAAAAAAAAAAAAATTTCTTATCTGAAATTAAGAAGTTCCTTATTAGTATCTGAAAGTTCTGCTATGCAAATGGATATTATCAGTAATTTCAGTTTAAAATCTTACCCATCTACCAAAATTCCAAAATATGGCATATTTTGTAGTTTCTACATTTCCTTTTCTTCTTGACTTAAATTGTAATTTTTTCTATATCCTCCACAACGTTTAGTATTTTATTTCATAAATATACTACAATGATCTAAACTACTTTACAAGTAATGCAATAAAGTGAATAAAAAGTAAAAAATCACTATACGCCATGAGAATTTGAATAAGATTAATCTTTAAGAATATATTATGTAAAGAAAGAAAAAATAATAACGTGAGCCAATTTTTTGTTGTTTTTTCTCTCTTATGTTTTCAAGTTTTCTCTAAATTGTGTAAAATATAATTAATTAATAAAGTTAATTTTGTTAGAAGAATATAAATCTATGTTTTCTTTTCGTTACGGCAGAACCTGAAATCAATTACTGTGCTAAAAAAAGAAAAATATTGAACTAAAGAAGGATGAAAACAAGGCATAAACATTAACTGTTGGGTTGTCTTTAAAAATATGGTATTCTCAGTTACACTTATTTCCCTTGCAGTAACTGGCTAGAGTCTGCAAAAAATGGAGATCCGACGAATATTTTATTACAGATTGCTGGCTTGTTTCTTCCTGCCCCTGATTGAGTTCGTCATAGGAAAAAAACCGTACATAAAAAAAAACCCCATAAAAATTACAATCTTTAACCAAACGAACACAAATCAAAGTTAAGAAAAATTAAACACAGACAATTATTTCTAGGGTGCTACGAAGAACTGAAGAGAGACAGGGGAAGGGAGAGAGAACTTTATTAAATCATTGTCAACAGTTTAGGCTCATACTGTGAACTAAGAAGTGTAAGTGAACGGAAAAATACAAAATTTAAACATAATGTTCATATTCAAAGTTAAACTTTAAACAGAATCAAATTTACATTAAATTTAGCACTGTCAAAACTGTACATTGGAGCAGCGACTCCACATCTATACCTTCAGCTTATTGTCTAAAAGAAATGGTATAAAACAAAGCACTTATCTACGACAGAACAAAGAACTGTTCTGATACTTTCAGAGAACTTTCTACAATTCAGGTTTGAAGTTAAGCTGAAACTGAGAAGTGAACATTAAAACAAGCTAAATGAAAGCTGTTGAAAATATAGTGATATACACAACACACACTCTCTCTCTCTAGGTGCTCGCCATACCCATGTGGCTGAGGTCCATTAACAAGTCATTAAGAGAGGTAAGAATAACAAGACATCGTCCTATTTACGACGTTTTTAATGTACTGCATCTGTTTAGGAAGCTTTTTGGACGATGTTTAGAGCTGCTAGCTCAGTTCTTCACCAAGTTCATCTAGCAACTCGAAACGTCGTTCCAATAAATTTCTAGACAGATTCAGTCATTAATAACGCTTTTCACGTATACTCTCCCGTGTTTAAAACTTATCTTCTCTTTTCTAATGGGTGACGTCATGATGTCTTTGATGGCTCATCCAATCCCGTGAACAATTAAAGGCACAGAAACTTAGTGTCTCTCCATTGAACAATGATCAAAACTAAACCAAAACGAATTACACTAAATTTTCTATCCCCTCTTTGAAATTTTGGTCGATCCGACCATCATCAGTTTAAAGTTTAAATGTCAATAAGAAACTTACGCATCGGACAAAAACTCTTGTCAAACTATACTACCAAGTTTAATAATGCAACCAACATTGCAAAAGCACCAACGAAATAAAAAACACAATAAAAATATACACCTGGAAAAAAGTTAAGCACCCCCGTGTTTTTTTCAAGTTATTCAGATTCGACGTTCTTGTGACTGATTATAAATTACCATTCAATCTAAACGTGTTTATCAAATTGAAATTATGCATTATTGGGCACAAGAAAACAAGATTA